CCAAATGCCCAGTCTTGCACCATTCCCAGACCATTTGGGCCACATCAGAAAGAATTTGCCATACTGCCTGCCTTTGATTAGATGTTAAGGAAGACTTAAATTCATGCAGAATCTCAATACAGCTCCCTTCCTTTTGGAACCATGTGAGAGACTGTTTCCAAGGCTGTTTCTTACAAGAGGACCTGCCTTACTAAGACAGCACTGCAATAATTAACGAGTTGAAAGCTTCCTGATTTGCAAAGCATTTTCACATATGTTAGCTCACTTAATGTCTCCCAAACCCTGTGAATGGAGCTTTCTTTTTAGCCCCATTTTACAGGTAAGGCAACTGAGGCCAAGAGAGCTTGAGTAGCTTCCCCAGTGCCTTAATGTAGAATAAGTATCAGAGCAGAGACTGGAGCCCAGATCTTCCTTATGAAAATCCAGCCACCTTGTTTTTTGCTTTTGAGGCAGAGTCTTGCTCTGTTGTCCAGGCTGGGGTGCAATGTCGTGATCTCAGCTCACTGCAACCTCCGCCTCCAGGGTTCAGGCGATTCTCCTGCCAGAGTAGCTGGGATTACAGGTGTGCACCACCACACCCAGCTAATTTTTGCAATTTTAGTAGAGATGAGGTTTCACCATGTTGGCCAAGCTGGTCTCATACTCCTGACCTCAAGTGATCCACCTGCCTCGGCCTCCCAAAGTGCTGGGATTACAGGTGTGAGCCACTGTACCCAGCCCCAGCCTTCTGTCTGATTCACTCTTGTTTTGTAGTAGTGGACATTTAAGAAGACTTATTTATTTATTTATTTTTATTCAAAGGGCTTGTGCTCGAATAAAGTGAGAGTAGGGAGAGAGGAATTCATGTTTCTCTGAGCTGCTTTTTGTTTGGGCTCTCATTTAATCTTTCTGACAACCTTTTGCAGCAGGTGTTATTCTAGTCCATATTTACACCCTAGGAAGCTGAGGATCACAGGGAGAAGTATCTTTCCCCAAGCCCCACATCGAGCAGTGGATAGAAAATGAGCCCAGATCCCTCTGTCTCCATCTCTGCAACCTGGCTCTCTGCATGCCACATTGGCTTACTACTGAGATCAGCTGCGCCAGGGCAGGCTGGAGGGTGAGGAGGCTGACTGGACCCCTGGGAAGGCAGGCAGCACCCAAAGCTGTTCCAGCTCTGCTGATTCCGTTCAAGAGGCCAGAAATGTTCAAATATTGGCCTTCTCCTTATAGTCTCCCACCCACCCTCCCTCTGGAAGCACAGAACTATAGTGTGCAAAGAAAGACCTTGTGGATCCTCTGCTCTTGCCCTCTCATTTACCAAACGAGAAGACGCTCTGTGGGGAACATGACTGGCCTCATTCCATAGAAGAGTTGGCAGAGTCTGGAGCAGATTCTAGGACCCCTGACTCCCAGGCTTGTGCACTGAGATGTTCTTGTCTGCCATCTCCCAGCCCCTCTCTTTGCCTTCCTTGATCTTCTTGAGTTCTCTAATGGGTCATCTGTCATGACCGTTGATTACAAGACACCATGCACAGTCCCCCCACTTCCGTTTATGCGTGGATCTCTCTCTGTTCTTACGTAAGAATCTCAGAGACAGAGGCCAGGTTGTGACCTTCTCTCTGGTGCTGGCTTGAAGTGGAGGAAAGAACCAGGCTCTGAGTCCCTTGGATCTGGGTTCCAACCTGCCTGTGTGGCTCTGAAGTCAAGTGACTCCTTCTCCCCTTGTTGCATTCCCCGGCAGCACTAACAATGGCTCCTGTTGGCTGGACACCTAGAGTGTCAGGCCCTGTGCTCAGGACTTCACTGTTCGAGGTCCCTGGAGAGTGGAATCTCTCATCCACAAGGTGGTGATTCCCTTGGTAATGGGCAGGATGCAGTCAGAAGAGAACTTGGGTGGGGACAAGCATCCTATATCCTGGGTTTACGCTCTCTTACCCATGCACTGATGTGCTTGACTGCCTGGCCGACACTTACTGAGCATATAGTATATGATGGGCACTGAGGCTCAGGGGATGAAGTCATAGGCTTTGAGTCCCAGAGTCAGTGATGGAATCACCAGGGAGCCCAGGCATTGTGTCTATGCTCTGTGCCACGTGACAAGTCTCTGCCCTCTCTTCATCCTGGAGAGACCCTGGGTTCTCACCTCCCTGGGCTGTTGGCACCATGCAAGGTGGGCAAGGTAGGGGCCCTGGTGTTCTGGCCCCCAGCTAGGTTCTCAGCACTACTGAGTGCTGGCTCATGGTGAGTGTTCAGCCACTGTTGGATGAATGGAGAAATGACTGAATGAATTTCCCAGAATGCACAGATGCTGCACCTAATCCCTTGGAGTTTAACCAGCACAAGAGTTTGCACTTTGCTGGCCATCCCCTGCCAAGGCACAGCCTTCCCTGAGCCTGTTTCCGTTGTATGTGGGCCCTACCTGAGGCCCCCGGTTAGTGTTCAGTCCCCTCCTGCGGGCGTAGGCTGCCCAGTGCCAAGTGCACCTTGTGTCTCTCCCCAGCCCTCCCACTGCTGTCTCCTGCTTCCTGCCCTCCGTCCCGCCACGGGATCCCGCCAAACCAGCCCACACGGCCTCCTTTTGTTCAGCCACCTCAGTTTCAGGGAAACCAGTCCAGCCAGGTCCCCCAGCCTGCTTTGCACACTCCTTTGAAGCCTTGACAGGCAGCCAAGCAAGCTAGCCCGAGCGCGCAAGGCAGGGTGCTGGTGCCGGCGCGCTGGCAGCTGCTTCCCGCCTTTCTGGCTCCTGGGACCTGGCTGCTCCCAGGCCCATTCACTTGGGGACAGAAATGCCTGGACGTTCTCCTCGGCTGGCATGGGCATTGCATCCAGGGCCGCCGGCTGGGGCTGTTCCCACAGCCCAGAGTCCTTTCCCAGGCTCCCTGTTCTCCATAGTGAAACCCTCTGGTTTGTCTCAGGCAGTACCTCCCACAGCCTGTGTCTCCATAAAGGAGAACTGGCAGCAGAAATAGCCTGGCTGGGTTCTGAGCTCTCTGAGAAGAGGCAGGACTGGGCAGAGGGTAGGAGCACTGGCTTTGGCTTCAGATGAGTGTCAAGCACCTCGCTCTGCCATCTCTAGCTAGAGGCCTATCTGCTTCGTGCCTCAGTTTTCTCTTCTGTAAGTGGGGAGCATAGAGCACCCAGTTCACCGGCACAGTGAAGGGTGATGAATACCCTAGGTTAGCACGTTGCAAGCTAAGCCTTCAACAGGAATTGGAAGCACTGTTAACATGTGGGGATCATCATTCTAGTAGCTGAGGAGCATCAGAGCCTAAAAGACTCATGTGTGAAAGAGGGGCCTCCTGTTCCTATTTTTAAATTTTTAAATGTTATTTGTTATTATTATTTTGGGGACAGGGACTTGCTCTGTCACCCAGGCTGGAGTGCAGTGATGTGACCTCAGCTCACTGCAGCCTTGACCTCCTGGGCTCAAGCAATCCTCCCACCTCAGCCTCCCAAGCAGTTGGGACTACAGGCACACAACACTGCACCTGGCTAATTTTTTATTTTTTATAGAGATGGAGTCTTACTATGTTGCCCAGGCTGGTCTCAAACTCCTGGACTCAGGTAATCCTCCCACCTCAGCCTCCCAAGCAGCTCTTGGGAATATAGCACCACCACCATGGCTGGCTAATTTTTTATTTTATTTTATTTTTTTGTAGAGTGCAGTGGCTCTATCGCTGCTTACTGCAGCCTTGACTTTCCAAACTCAAGCAATCCTCCCACCTCAGCCTCCCAAATAGCTGGGACCGCAGGTGCCCAGCACCACCCTCAGTTAATTTTTTGACTTTTTTTTTTTTTTTTTTTTTTTTGCTGGAAACGAGGTCTCACTATGTTGCCCAGGCTGGTCTCGAACTCCTGGGCTCAACCAACCTGCTTACCTCATCCTCCCAAAGTGCTGGGATTACAGGTGTGAGTCATTGTGCCTGGCCTCCTGTTTTCTAAATTTCAAAAGTAGTACATGCTTACTGCACAATTTAAAAAATTCAGATAAGTGAAAGAAAACTTAAAAAATACTCGTTGCGATCAGGTGCGGTGGCTCACGTCTGTAATCCTAGCACTTTGGGAGGCCAAGGTGGGTGCTTCACGAGGTCAGAAGTTCGAGACCAGCCTGACCAACATGGTGAAACCCCGTCTCTACTAAAAATACAAAAATTAACTGAGCGTGGTGGCGCTCACCTGTAGTCCCAGCTACTCGGGAGGCTGAGGCAGGAGAATCACTTGAACCCGGGAGGCGGAGGTTGCAGTGAGCCAAGGTCGTACCACTGCACTCCAGCCTGGTCGACAGAGCAAGACTCTGTCTCAAAACAAACAAACAAACAAACAAACACTTGTTGCGGGGTGCTGTGGCTTGCGCCTGTAATCCCAGCACTTTGGGAAGCTGAGATGGGAGGATGGCTTGAGCCCAGCAGCTTGAGACCAGCCTGAGCAACAGAGCGACATCCTGTCTTTACAAAAAACTTTTTAAAAAATTAGCTGGACATGGTGGTAGGCCTGCAGTTTCAGCTACTTGGTGGCTGAAGAGGAAGGATCACTTGAGCCTGGGAGTCAGAGGCTGCAGTGAGTTGTGACCGTGCCAGTGCACTCCAGCTTGGGTGACAGAATAAGATGCCATCTTAAGAAAAAGAAAAATTAAAAAAACCTTTTTATCCTACCAATGTATATACTCATGTGTGCACATGTACACACACGTATGCATACCCCTACACACACTAGAATTGCTAGTTTATAACCATATGTAATAATAGTTTATATGGACATAACAGTGCATACCTATTATATTATGTACATATGTAATGCATTTTATATACTTTTCATACATATTTCATTTCATATTAAATACAGATTCTTGCATGTACATATATTTGAAAAACTAAAGAATAGGCTCCTCTGGTTTTGTGACCAGTTTTTGTCATTTAATGTAAGCTGAATTTTTTTTCTGTTAGGGAATTTTTCTGCAGGAAAATATTTCAAGGCCACCTGGTATGTTATAATACAAACATGTTATATCCATTTTACAGTTGAGGACGTGGAAGTGCTGAGATGCAACATAAGTTCCCCCAAATTACTCAGCTACTTGAGGCACAGCTGACATCCAGAAGCTTCTCCGGAAAGGCTTTTGGAGTTCCCCAAGGCAGAGTCAACAAGAACGTAAGTTCCTTGAGAAGAGGGACTGTGTGCCTCACTCACTGTCATCTCCCCACCACCTGCCTCAAAATGGACATTCTGTTAATAGTTACTGAGTGAATAGACACAGGAAGTTCAGCCTTTTTTGATCTAATTTCTTGCTCAAAGCTCATCACAGCATTCAACATGTGGCTTCCTCACTAACCTGTGCACCCCTCAAGTCCAGGACCATGTCAGATTGTCTTTGAATCCCTCAGCCCCCGTCTCAGACCTGCATCAGGGCAGGTGTTCAGCAAATGAATATCAAATTGTGGAAACGGGGATCTCTCCATTCTGGATTCAAGACAGCGCCCTCCCTGTGAAGCTTTTCTGAGCCCTTTCACACTGAAGTTCTCCAAACCTTCATGTTGACACCTATCTGCCTGCTGCCCTCAGTCCAGGAGCAACTTGGACATCAGCCCTACCTGTCACACTGGGGTTGGTGCACCTGGCCTGTTCCGGGACAGATCGCAAGGCTGAGGGTTAAGTAACACCTGGAGTGGTTAGGAGTCTGGGCACCTCCTTCTTGTGAATCTCCCGGGCTGCGTGGCGGGTGGCGGGCGGCTGGCAGGGGAGGACCCTTGGCAGTGCTGTGGCTTTGCATTTGCTGCCAGCGGGGCCTTTGATGCCCCAGGGGCTGCTCGCCCAGCCAAAGGCATTGTAGAACACAAAAGCTGCAGAAAGCAGCACAAATAAAGTAAAAACGACCCAGGAACTGCCAGGGAACTTATCAGCCTGTTTCCTGGTCACAGGTATGGGGTGTAGGGAGTCACGGGGAGCATTTCTGGGCCTTGTGATCGCTTGCATGTTGCCAGGGCCCCTGGTATTGTGTTCAAAGCATTAACCTGGAAGCTAAGCAAGGCTCTTCACCTTGCAAAACTGACTGAATGAGTCCAAACTCTTAGAGTTTTTGTGAGGGTTAGATAGGTTGATAAGTTAAAGTGCCTACTCTGTGTGTGTGCATCTAATAATGATAACAGCCACAGTAGTAATAACAATAGCAGCTAATACTTTCTGAGCATTTCATGTATGCCAAACACTATTTTAACTGATTTTTATATTAATTCATTTAATCTTCATAATGACACTAAGAGGTAGGTAGTACTGTTGTCTTCATTTTATAGATGAGAAATTTCACCAAAGCTCAGAGATGTTAAGTAATTTCTTTAAGATGGCACAGCGCATGAAAAGACAATCCGGCATTTGAACCTGGCACTCTGGTTGAGAAACACTGGTCTATAGCCACCTTGCTACCCATTTCTTCCCCCAGCCTTTGGAATATTGTGTTCCCCTAATTATTATGGTAGTGAGGACAACCACGTGATGATGATGATGAGGATGAGGATGACGATGATGACAGTGATGGCGGTGGTGAAGGAGGAAGACATGCCCTCATTTCGTATAGCAATCTGCTTCTTGCTGGGATTTCAAATCCATTTTCATTGTTGATCCTGAGAGCAAGCCTTGGAGGGGGAGTCACTTTGAAATCCCAGGAAACTGGGCCTTAAGAGGCAGCTGAAGACCCATGCATTCATGCGGTGGAGTCTGCGAGGCCCAGAGCGGAAGAAGAGGACATGGGTGTAGCCGCCCACACTGCTGTGCCTACAGCTCTGGATCCTGACTGTGTGAGTGGGCCCAAGGCTGCTGGAACCTCTGGGGCTATAGCAAGAAGGGTGAGGAGGTTGCCCCACTCCTGCTGCCTTCATGAACGTTGGTTGTTCCCTCAGGACAGGAAATTGAGGCTGTTCCCTTGACCTCTCCAGTCAGCTTAGTGGTGACCTCAAGCCCTCTTATGAGGTGGTGGATCATAGCTACCGTTGATTGAGGTAAGACCTTCATTTATTTCATTTAAACTCATCAGTAGCCCTGGGAGATGCATATCATATTTCCATCATGGTGTACCATAATTGCATCAATTAATTTTTGCCACAGCAACGCGGAGTAACAACTACAGAATCTGAGTGGCTTTCAATGTTAAGCATTTATTATCTGCACATCTGGGGAGACTGGCCAAGCAGCTCTGCTGAGCTTGGCTGGACTGCCTCCACATCTGGGGTGTGACTGCCTGGTGGCTGATGTCATTTTGCTGGAGTCGCTGGGGTGTCTCCACTCTGCCCTCTGGGTCTTTCGTCTCCTTCTGAAACCAGTAGACTAGCTGGGGGAGTGTCCTTCTTATGGTGAAAAGCACGGAGCAAGAGCAAGACCATTCCTAGGTGAACAAGCCCTTTCCAAGCTTCTGCTGGCCTCTCTTTTGCTAGCACCCCATTGGCTGAGGCGCGTGACCTCACCACGCTGAGTGTCAGAGTGGGAAGGCACTGCAGAGGTGCCTGGTGGAGGGTGAGGGTGCAGGTAGGTGAAGAGTCAGGACCTGTTTGCACTTAATCACAGGTGATGTCATCTCAACTGTCCCTCAGGCTTCTCTGAGCTTTGCTGTCATCCTTACTTAAAACTATTTGCATTGTTAGAAAGAAGAAGAGACTAACAGGCACCTAGCAATGACTGAATACCTAAAAACCCACTTAAGGAGATCAATGCTATGGCTCTCCGAGGCTCTGTGGGACCAGGGGGCTTTATCAAGGTTGCCTCACAGAGCAGTGGCTCAGCCAGCATTGGAATGTCAGTTGCCTGGTTCCCATTTGTGTGTGCATGTGTGTGTGTGAACCCAAACCTGTGCCCAGGTCAGACTTTCGTGACGCTTGCAGTCAGTTCTCCCTCACAATGTTGCTTGGGTCCTGGAGGCTGGAAGGAAAAGAAGCTTTAGGAGAGAGAAATTGTGACCTCCTTTCCACAGGTTGCTATCACCACAGGTTTTCCACAAGTTTCTCCCTGGGTGGCCACCCCAGAGGCTAGAACAGAGCAGAGGACTTTTCATAAAATCTTTGGAGTCTTCAGAAGAAGGTCTTTTGAGATAGGCCATGGAGAAATGGGGCCTTTGAGCCATAAATTAGCCATTGTGTGCAGGCTGGGGCCTCACCAGTTCAGCGAAATCTCCAGCCTTGAGAACTGAAACTGACTTGGGGCTCTGATTTTGACAATGGCCTTGAAGTAAGGCATTCCTCCTTGTGTAGTGAGAGCTGCTTCCCCTTCTCTTTTGTCCCTCTTCACCATGGCATAGCCCCAGGAAGTCCAGATGCCAGATGAAGTCTTTGGCCTATATCCTGAAATCCATTCCCTTAGGAATACTTTTCTTCACTTTCCTGCCTGAGGCCCCTCTCTACACTTTTGCTTGCTTTCCCATGTTGAGAAGACATATTTGAAAGTGATTCCTGGGTGGCCAAAGTCAGAAGGCTGGGTAGCCATCTGCCTTGCTGGCCACCTCCCCAACCCTACCGAGCTGTGAGCTTACAGGCGGTACCATCTGCACTTCTGCACTTTTTTTTTTTTTTTTTAGCCCTGACCTTTGGCCTAATAAAAGCAAAGTGCAGAGCTTTGAATGAAGGAGATACAAACAAGATGTTCTCTTCCTCCCCCAGCCCCTCTTTTCTCTCCTCCTTCTCCTCCTCCTCTTCTTCCTCTTTCCCTCTCTACACTTATTCTGTGCCAGACATCAACCCAGGGATGTATTTATTTTTCCCAGTGAACTAAAGGTTTATAAGGAGGATGCCCTTTTCTCTGCAAGGACTAGTATTCTCTTCCTCTTGGAAAACTCCTGTTCGTCCTTCTGGACCTGGGGGGGAAGAAACCCATTTCCCACAAGACTGTTCTCACCACCTGGGTGGAGTTGCTGATTCTCTATTTTGGAACATCACACTTTGAGGGCTTTGCTCTGGTCCAGAACACTCTTACTATGCTGTTCTGGCTCATCTCTTGGTGTGTGTGTCAACTGAACCGTTTGAAGGGGATGACTGTGGCTCCTTTATTTATCTCTGTGTCCTCTGTGCCCACTACAGTGTCAAACACAACATGGAAGCTAAACATACATGTGCAAAATGGGCAAATGTAGGTACAAGCAGGGACACCCTTAGTTCAGCAGGGACCTTGGGCTCCAGATCACTCAGCTCTAACTTGGAAGCTGGAACACCTGGCTGTGTTACACAGGCAAGACCTGTGTCTCCATATACACCATTTATTCCTCACACTTGGCCAATGTGTGCCAAAGCTGAAAGAGTTCAACCTTACAGAGTTTGACAGGTTCAGGTTGGCATCCTTGCTCTGCCTTTTCCCAAGCAGGGAACTTTGAGTAAGTTACTTTACTGCTGCCTTTGCCAGTTTCCCCATCTGTAAATACACATAGAAACACTTGCTTTGCCTGATTTTTGAAAAGAATAGAGATGATGTTTGCAAAGTCCTGGCACGTGCAGTATCTGTTATGGCTCTTTTATTTATCCTGCAAAGCAACTGTTCATAGTATCACATGGCGGGCAGGAGTAGGGGGCAATAAAAGCATTTGTGGCAAGGATCCAATTATTTGCAGGCTTCTCTTCTGTCTGGCTTTGTTTACTGTCATGCAGGAAAAGTGCCTTTACCAGGGCACAGCAGTAAACCTGTTGGCTACTCTAGCCCTGCCTGGGTTCCCAGGAAATTGGCAGGAGAGGAGCTGCCTGCTGCTTGTGGGCCTGTTTAGGCTGCAATCGCTGTGGGAACACACAGGGTTAGGAAAACAAACACATGACTCATTGGGGACTTCCGACCTCAAGCCAATGAGGTGCTGACACCTTGCAATTTCTGAGGGTTCCCAGTAGATATGCATGTGTCTGCTCAGCCTTCTTTGGACCTGAGCCCATCTCTCTCTGCTCTCACACTCTGTGGGGGGCTAGGGGATGGAATGCTTGTGTTCCTATCCTTCTGTCCTCCTTCTGCATTTATTGAGCCTTGCTAGGTGCTGGGAATGTGATGACAAGTAAGACAGTGCAGGCAGGCTACAGACAAGTCAACACATGCGGTCTGCTGGAAAGCAGCCCCCCAAAGATGACCATAATCCCTGGGACCTTTGACTGTTACCTCACGTAGCAAAAAGGACTTTGCAGATGTGATTAAGTTAAGGATCTTGAGATGGGAAGAGTATGCTGAATTACTCAGGTGGACCCAAAGCAATCACAAATAGTTACTTATTAGTGGTTCCTTATTAGAGGGAGGCAGAGGGAGATTGACTACCCTAGATGAGAAAGTGATGTGACCATGGAAACAGAGATTGTAGTGATGCAGCCAGAAGCCAAGAAATGCTGGCTGCCTCTAGAAGTGGAAGACAAGAAACTGATTTTCCTTTGGAGCTCCTGTTGATGCCTTGCTTTTAGTTCCTTATGACTTAGTTCAGCCTCTAACCTCCAGAAGGGTAAGAGAATAAATTTGTGTTGTTATTGGCTGCCAAGTTTGCCATGATTTGTTACAGCAGCAAGAGGAACTAATACAATGTGTCCTTGCAATGTTATAAGTGTTAACACCACTTCCCTAGTGATGAAGGAGACTGAATAGCCCAGTGGTTCCAAGGGAGATCCCTGAAGTCCCAGTGCTTTGGTTCAAGTTCACATCTGCCTTTTGTTGGTTAAGGGGCCTTTTGCCATGTTACTTCTCAAAGCCCCAGGTTTGTCTGTCATGTGCTGTAACATCATGATGTAAAATAAGGGTAATAGTCATTTCCATCTCATGCATGGTGGTGAGGATTGAGCTGTGAAAGGCACATAATATTGGCTGTCTGGAGCGCAGTATGTACCCCAGCACCTTCCTCCTGTGCCTTGACTCTTACACTTCCTCATCGACAAGAAGGCACTGGATGCTGGAGAATCTCTCCGCAGAGATGTCGCAATGCAGGGCAATATCTGGAGAGGTGTTCTGGGCTGCGGCTTGTGGATAGGATTGATAGGACATTTAGTAGTTAGCAGTGGGAGGAGGCAGGGGTCCCCGAGACCCAGTGCTTCTGCAGGGCTGGGCACTGTGTGGGGGTCTCAGTAGTTTAGTGGCTATTCTGAAACAGTCACTCACTCCTGATCCTCCCAGGCACTGCTGTTCACAGGCAGCCCTAGTTTTACCTCTGTAAGCTACTCATGAACATACATCATTCTTTTATTTAGTAAACAGGAATCTCACCCCTGCCATGTACCTGCCAGGCATTGTAGGAGTGAGTGGAAGCTGCTGCAGGGTTACCACACCTGGGCTTTGCCAGAAAGGTACTAGAAGGCCGTCAAAGCAGCTCCTGGAGGACAGTTGAGCAAGTGACCGTTAGAGAAACCTGAGGCTTCGTTAGGGCCAGGATTTGGCCACAGGGTGCTCTTCCGTTCCTGCCTGCCTCTGCTGCATTGAGGATGCAGCCTCCAGGCCTGCCATGGGTTCGGGCTCCTTCCCTGGGACATTTGGGATGGTTTTGATGCATACTTGCTGTTGAGATTCTCACCAAATAGCTGCCTGGGCCACTCTCCTCCTGACCAGTCAGCCACCACCACTGCCACTGCCAGAGGTCCACAGATGGAGGCTCCCCCAGGCAGTGGGAGGAGGCAGGGGTGCCCGAGATCCAGCGCTTCTGCGGGAGTTGGACACTATGCTGGGGCCTTAGGCCCTGCAGTCACCACGCCTCTGAGGGGCAGGAGCCACTGGGTCCATTTTACAGTCTCCTCACCTGTCTTTCAGCTGGTGATGGGACATATGCCCATTTGTTTTCATTTTGCACATACGTTCAGAGGGGAGTAATCATTATCACTGCTTCCCACTGGGGAAACTGAGGAACAGAGAGGCTGGCTGACTCATGGTCACACAATGAGTAAGAGGTGATCCCAGATGAGATTCTGTAATTTATACTTTTAATGGATTTTCCAGCTGTGGGTTTGGGGGAGCTTGCTTTGATTCGCTATAGAGAATGTTCTTTTCCCTACCTGGAAATGCAGTTGTCATTGTT